AAGCCCTCCTGTCTCCCTACAATTCCAAGACCAACCTAGAAAAGACTACCTGTCATACAGATTAAAATTCTACACGCTGAAAGGGAGCAGTGATGAGACTACAAAAGCTTCCATGGCCCCAGTTATCAATAGAAGGTCCAGTTACAAGGCAAGTGGATTGTTTGCAGTCTTACCAAATTCCTAGGCATTGAATATAAGTCACACTCACTCAAAACCTGAAAAACACTTCACTTCTATAAGACATCATCTCCATTCATTCATATCTGCTGCATCCTTCTCTGCAGACTTTCTTTTCTTCCTGCCTTTTCTCTTCCCTCCACCAACCTTCTATAGTCAAAGACCACTCCTGAGTGAAAACCAACATTTTAGAGATACAGCACCAAACTGTAAAGTTTACAAGTGAAATGCAGCTGGATCTTAAAAACCAACTCCTTTGGGGCCCTTTACATGTGTCCCTGTTTTCACAATAGAATTTACCACTTCCTCTCCTGAATCCCTATGTGGCACTCTGTGTCAGACACATTCATCTTGCCCTATTAGCAAAAACAGGAGTCTCAAGGAGAGCCAATTCTTTCTTCTTCCCTTGCTCCCTTATACTGGGGCTAAAAGCAACACTTATGATTAATGACACTTGGGGATTGTGTTTGTTTGTTTTGTATCCTTACTAGGGATTGAATGTAACACCTGTGCACTGAGCTACATCCCCGTCTTTTATTAGTTTTTATTTGAGACAAGGTTTTGCTAAGTCACTAATTTGCCAAAAACCTGGAAGACTTGTAGTCCTCCTGCCTAGCCTTGAAGAATGCTGGGATTGCAGGTGTGCACTACCACGCCTGGGTATCAATAGTAGTCACTTTCTGTTTGCTGGGACACACTATCTGATACCTACAGCTTAAGGGAAGAAAGGTTTATTCTGGCTCATGTTTTCAAAGTTTCAGTCCATGTCTGGCAGTCTTAAACACAGAAAATGTATGGCAGAAGAGCCTGGGTGAAGGACAACTGCTCATATCATAGTGCTAGGAAGTAGAAAAAGAAGAGAGAAGCCAGGGAGGGAGATACACCCTTCCAGGTCACAACCCTAGTATCTTCCTCTTCTGACCAGACCCTACCTCCTAAAGGCAAATCAGCTATAGCATCCCCCCAGTCCAAACCTCTTCCAAAAGCCCTGTCTAACCACGAGGCCCTTGGGGGACCTCTAGATATAAACCATAACACTAATGATACTGTCAATGGCATTTAATTATCCTCAGCCTTGTGTTTCCCTTAAATCTGTTCATGCTTTACCTCTGCACTTTGTCTCTAATATCAGATAGCACAGCACTGCATATGGAAAGCTGATACCTATGGGGCCTTCCTCATCTCAACACAAACTGCAGCCTGAGTAGTCCTCAATAGACATTGGGATTTTGTTTTGCTTCTGTGTCTGTGGTATGGGATATTGAACCCGGGCCCTCACACATGCTAGTCAAGTGTTCTACTACTGAGCTACACCCCAGCCCTCAGTATATATTGGTGTGAAGTAACTAACCAACTCCATTTTGAAAGCTCCCTTGCAGATCTAGGGTGTGGTGCCTACAATTCAAATTTGGTTTCTTTGGGAAGCCATTTCATTCATGGCAGGGTATCAGAGGCAGTGGGAGTGTTTACATGTGTACTTTAAGTCAATGTGTACGGACATTTGCGTATCACCTGGGTTTTGCCTGTTCTCTATGTAAGGGGCATTCCTGTTTCAAAGTTTCTGTCATGTAGGACATGCTACAGACTCTATAATGTGCGCCCAAGGAACAGATAGTGTAGTCCTGAGGATTTTTAAGCCCCCTGATGAACATATCATTATGCATTCACAATGCTGAGGTGCATTGTTATGTTTTCAGCAGCCTGCAAGAAAGGCCCTGCTGAGCAGGATGAAGAAACTCCCTGCAATTAATTGGTAGAGTTGAATTGTTAACATTCTCCCAGTGCTCCCAAACACAGGGCCCTTGACTAGCCTGCTGGAGAAAATGCCAGGGGAATGAAAGGTGGAGCAGAGGGGAGAAATCTCTCATTAAAACCCCAATCAAGCCTTTTTAGCATTTTTTCCCCCACAAGATATTTGCTTTGAGCCCAGAATGTTACACTTGTTGAATGCTATAATCATAACAAACCTCTGTTCTGTCCTAAAAGCTGAAATTATTTGCTTTCCTTGGAAGATTTCTGTGTGGGGTGCACACTGGAAAGTCCACAAGCTAGCTCCCCAGGAGAGTACATGTTGCACTACAGTCTCTGGTGCTACACGTTTCTGAACATGTGCACCCCATATCTCACGTGGAAATGCATGTGTTACAACTGAACAAAGACTCATTAGAAAACACTCCAAGTTGTATTCCTCCCTGTCTCTCTTCTTTTCCTTATTTCTTTTCTTCCCTCCTTCCTCCCCTCTCCCTCTTTCCTTCTTGCCTTCCTTTCTTCCTTTTTCCTTCCTTCCTTCCTCCATCCCTCCTCCTCTTCTTCCTTTCTCCCTTCTTTTCTTTAGTATTAAAATGAAAAAGAATTGGATAGTTCTCAAAACTGATCAGGCTAGTGCCTAGGAAACACTTTCTTACACGAAGATGGTGGTTATAGCACAAGCAGGCTAGAAGGCAGACACAGCCTGCCATGCCTGCCTTGATGGCAAGAGCTCCCAGTAGCCATGTCCATCTAACACAGTCATATTTCCTGGGCCACACTGTCTTGGATGAGAGTGAGCACCAAACCCATCCAAGACCAGTGAGAATCCCAAATTCTAGATCCTAAGACTTTGGAGTAAGAATTAAAAGGTAGGTTTTTTTCATATATTTATTTGCTGCTTTTATTTCTTTGTCTGAGAAATGTCTTTTCATTTCAGATGCCCATTTTTGAATCAGGTCTTTGTATTTGGGTGGTCTGATTTTTTGAGTTCTTTTTTTTTTTCAGCTTTAATTGAGTTTATTGGTACATCGAGAGATGCAGATGAAAACAACACTGAGATTCCACCTCACACCAGAAAGAATGGCGCTATCAAGAAATCAACCAATAATAAATCCTGGTGGGGAGAAAGGAACCCTTCTCCATTGTTGGTGGGAGTACAGAGTGGTACAACCACTTCGGAAATGAATATGGAGATACCTCAAAGAACTAGGACTAGAGGTTCCATTTGACCCAGCCATCCCTGTGCTGGGTATCTTTCCATGAAATTAAAAGAATCATACCACAGTGATATATGTGCACCCATGTTTATAATGGCACAGTTCATAATAGTTAAAACTTGGAAACAAACCAAATGCCCATCAACTGGAGACTGGATAAAGAAGATGTGGTTTTTCTATAAAATGGAGTACTACTGAGTCATAAAGAATGAGAAACTAGAAACATTTATAGCTAAATGGGTGCACATTGAGACTATTCTCCTAAGTGAAAATAAATAGGACACAGTTGAGTAAATACCAAATAGCTTCTCTGGTGTGAAAAACTAAAAGTGTACATAAAGTTCCAATGATATAATTGAGAGGGTGAAATAGGAAGAAAATGGCTAAAGGGGAAGTGGGAAGGGGAGGGGGAAAGGAAATAAGGGTAAAGAAAAAATGTGAAAAAAGGGAAAAATGGAAACACTGTCTTTGTAAATAGGGAGGGGTGAAGACAGTGAAGGGAGGGCAGGGATATGGGGAAAAAAGAAGAACCAAGACATATCCTGTAAAGGTACGAGATTCCAATGATAAATGTAACTGTATTGTTTGCTTTAAATGTACCAGTAAACTTAATGGAAAAATATTTTATTTTTCTGGTTCCAAACTGGGAGTTTATGACATCAAGAGCAAAAAACTGATTGTCCTCTATGACATTAGCTTCAGAAATTTTAGAGATTTACCCTTCAATCTATAAGGAAAATAAAACCCCTACTTAACCTAAAAATCTTCTCCTATAGTAGTTTTTGCAGTTAGGGCAAATTCTATGGGTTTTTATTCAGGGGTATAAAGCAAAGTTTTTTTTGTCCTGAAACTTCTGACTTATTTCTAAGAATCTGTGAATAAGTACCCACCAAAAAAAAGGATCTTGGGAAAGTTTAATTAAAAACCAAAGTAGGATAGGTTGAAATATTGTAATAAATTTAAATTCAAGATTTAAGCCCATGTATAATGGCAGTTTGATCTTGGCTGCTTCAGATTCGATCCTGGAGTTCCACCATGTTTGGCCCTTAGTGGGGCTGCATTTTATTGTCTTTCATTTTCTGTCTTTAAAACCATCTGCCTCTAGTGCTTACCATGTGAATAATTAGGTTACTAAACAATAGACTACAATAGAAAAGTTGTAGAAATGAATTAACTACCCTAACAAGACACCAATCAATCAATGTGGATTCTTAATTTGTCCAGTGAGTTTGTCTATTAAAAAATGCTCCTCCCTGTAACAAGTTCTCTAAGATCTGGTTTTGTCATTCTACTCTCACAAAACGGCTTCTGTTAAGTTTCATGAATGACTGATTTTTATTTATCCAGCTGTACCTTTGCTGAATGTCTACTGAGTAAAAACTAATATGTACAATTTACATAAAATCATTAATGCACACGATCATAAATGGAAGTGTTGGGAATGTTATTTTGTAAGATGTAATATGCTTCTTTACACATAGAAATATAATAATTTCACTTGAGCATGTTAGAATGAGAAAAGAGGAGAGGCTGTAACACAGTGGAACTATAATAAATAATATCCTTTTAAAAAAAATAAAAGGTAGGTATTAGGGTGTGGCTGTGTTTTCCACCAGATGCATTAGGAAAAGATGAAACCACTGTGGCATGTGGAAAACTGCATTCTTAAAAGAGACTCACCAAGTTGGACTGAAAATGGGCACTGCAAGGAAACTCACCACAGGCCTTTCATTCCAGATTTCAAAAATCCTGAACAGAACAGCCCTGGAAAATCCTCAGCCAGACTCTTTCCAAAACCAGAATTAGGATGGCAGGAATTTGATACCACAGGACCCAAGCCATCTCACAGTATCCCCGATGAACAGAATGCTTCCTGTGACTCTCCAGCCACACACTTTAATCAGCCCAGATTATTCCAGGACGTATTTGACACCACAGGTCCAACCCAATCCCACCATTTGGAAGAAACATCAAGGATGCACCTCATTCACTAACAAGCAGCACAAAGAACTGGAGGCTCTGTTTAGCCAGACTGAAAAGAGCTGGCTGCAAGACTCAACCTACAGGAGAAAACAACAAAGGTCTGGTTCAGGAAGAGGTGGTTCAAACTGAGGAAGCAACAGAAGCATCAAGAGCAGTCACTACAGCAGTCCAGCCAGATCCTTCCAGCTGGGAAGAATGTGCCCTCCTCACTCAGAACGTCCACCAACACTGACTCTTTTCTTCCTGTGGTCTTAAATCTCAATAGCTCCCTTCCATGGCAGCCCACAAGCCCTTCTGGCTGTTCAGAGGACTTTGTTTTTCAGAGAGCCCCAAGATTGATTTCCAAGTACAAGATCCTCCACTGAAGACTCTGTCCCTGCTCTATTGCCAGACACCTACAACATAACCCAAATTATAGGACTATACAGTTTTCCTGATGAGTGGGAGGTCTCTAGCTGCTCCTTCAGCTGTCTGTGTCAGTATCTTTCACCTGCAAGGTCCCAGCTTGAAGGACAGGTATCTCTCTCAGCATCTTTGATGTTCCAGCTGTTGGTCCAGCTCCTGGGCAAATCTGCATGCCCAGTATGATGAGTCAAGGCTCTGCTGCCTGCAGTCTCAGAAACAGCCTGGCATTCCAGAGCCTCCTCACTAGGTAGACTTTGTGTTTCTCTGTCCAGTGTTTTTAAATTAATTTTATTGGTGCAGGGCCAGAGATTTAGCTCAGTGCTTCTGCTACCTGCCTCACAAGCCCAAGGACCCAAGGTTTGATCCCTGGTACAAAAACAAACAAACAAACAAAAAAGTGTCTAATTTTATTGGTGCATTTTAGATAGACATAATGATCACATTCATCAGAGGGAATTTGTATCTGTACATAATATATCTTGATTCTTTTTTTCCCCATCCTCTCCCCTTCCTTTAACCCCTTCCCCTCCTTATTTACAAAAGCTTGGTTCCCATTTTGTTCCTTCTATTCTTTTTTTTCTTTTGTCTCTTCCTTCCTTTCACCCTTTCCTCTCTCTTGTTTCCCTTTCCATCTGAACATTTCCTTCCTGTCTCCCAATGTCTATTAAACATTTTGGTCCTTATTCCACCTTGTTTCTCACACCAGAGAAACGATGTGGTATGTAAACGTGTGTCCACTTCATTTCACTGAAGAGTTTGGGCTGTGAGCAAAGTATTATCAATGTCAGATCATTTGGAAGAGAGATCTTCTTGACTCTTCTACATAACTCTTTCCTTTCATTTTTAATTCAGATATGTAGGTCAGTGTAACTTTGTTTTATTTTGTTGTTGTTGCTGCTGTTGGGTATTTTTGTGTGCTTGTTTTTGCTTTTCTGGCACTGGGGACTGAAGTCAGGACCTTGCACTTGCCAGGCAGGTGAAGTGCCACTGAACTACATCCCTGGCCTAGTGTTACTTATATTTCAATACAAATATTATAAAATAAAAATAGAGGTTTTTTTCCAAATATAATTCAGCATCATACAATCAGCCATACTGTTCTTCATGAGGAAAGTCCTCCGACCCTTGAGAAGGTCATTGAGACGCTAAAACTCTTTCTCTCTCTCTTTTTTTGTTTTTGTTTTTTAAGACGGTCTTGCTATGTAATTCAGACTGAACTTGAACTAACTATGTAGCCGAAGCTGGCCTTGAACTCACTACGATCCTCCTGCCTCAGGCTCCCAAGTGCTGGGACCAAGTGCTGGGATTACAGACATCTGCCACCAAGCCTGGGTTCTAAAACTCTCTCTTCTCAAAATTATTTTAACTTTTTTTTCACAGATACACAGTGGCTTTAAGAGTAATTTACTTTTGTGTGTGTGTATGTGTGTGTGTGTGTCTTGGAGATTGAACCCAGGTACATCACTCCACTGAACTATATCCCTAGCCCTTTGTATATATTTTTTCTAATTACTCAGAACTTGAAATTATTCTTCTATGGTTTAGTTGTAAAATCTCTCCCCAAAATCTTGTGTTTTTAAAATTTTCTTTTGCTATTGTTTTCTAATTTAATTTCATTGTATTTGGAGAACATGCTTTGTAACATTTCAGTCCTTTTAAACTTATTTTATGATCCTTAATGCCTTTTATTTTATTTTGTGGCATTGGAGATTGAACCTAAAGCCTTCAAATTGAACTATATCCCCAGCCCTTTTTTATTTTTTATTTTGAGACAGTTTCACCAAGTTGCTAGATTGCCTAGGCTGGTCTTGAACTTGCAATCCTCCTACATCAGCCTTCCAGAATGCTGGAAGTACAAGTGTGTGCCACCACACTTGGATAAAATACCTTTATTTTTATTTTTTACTTTTTGAAGCAAAACATTTATTGGTATACTTTAGATATACATAATGATAGCATTCATCATAGGGAATTTGTGTCTGTACATGATATATCTTGCTGCCTTTTTAACACACACACACCCCTCTTCCTCTCCTTATTTTAAAAGTCTTTCTTTCTATTTTTTCCTTCTATTCTTTCTTTTCTTTCTTGTCCCTTATTTCCAAATGCGTTTATTAGAAACATTTTCTATTTCCTTTTGTATCCAAGGTTTGAAGTTTTCTCCAAAGGTCTTCATTTGTTAGTGCTTAGATACATTTTTAGAAATAATTATCGAGAGGTTCTTATCTTATTATATGTCTATTACCAGTGCTGAGGAATTTTACTGATTTAAGTTGATAGTGTGATTGGAAAATTACTGAAGTATTGTTCCTCAATTGTGACTATTGATTTTGTCAGTTTTCTAGGATTATCAGTCTTTCTTTAAAAGAAGCTGTTTTATCTCTTGCTACGATTATTTCCTAAAACTCTCATTATGCCTGGTCTCTTGTACTTAAAATGAATGGTGATGGTGATCTCTCCTCAGATTTTGACAGGAAATTGCCTCTAGAGGCCCTAAAACTAAAGATCAGATCAGAACTGATGGATGTTATGACTTGTATCTAGATGTCCCTCCAAAGCCTCATGTACTCATAGCTGGGTCTTTCTATGAGTGACTGGATTTAGGGTATGTGATTACAGATTAAGGGTGTGTGGTCACTAAATTAGTCTACTGGCTGGTTTAGCATAGTTCTGCTTGTGGATAATGGGAAGGCCCATCCTTGGTGTGGGTGGCATCAACAGTCTTGTACCCTGGATGGAAAAGAAAGCAAGCTCACTGATCACTGCCTCGCTGCCTCACTGGCTCCTGCCTGACCTGCTGTGGACTGCTTCTCCTCCATCAAGCCTCTCTGCCATGCCACCTTGCCATGGAGCCAGCTAACTATGGACTGAAACCTCTACAAACTGAGCTAAAACAAACCTTTTCTCCTTAAAAAAAAAAAGATGAAAACATTGTGCCAAACAAAGGAAGGAAAATAAAACAAGCACACACACACACACACACACACACACACACACACACACACAAAGATAGAAAAAGGAGATGGAGAGAGACCACTGCCAAGTGTCAATGGCCCACATGTGAACATCTAGGTCTGACTGATCCCGCTGACTTCTGTGTTCATGGAGCAAGGGCACAGCCACTACTAATCAGGGCCAAGGAAGAAGTTAGGACAGGGGTGTGCCTACCTGAGGAACCAAAGAAGGGAATCTTTACCTTGAAGAGAACCATTCTTATGCTTCCTACATTATTTCTACTTCATCTAGCTGTGAACTTTAGGCAATGAAATCAATCATCAAATACCTCTTATTGGGAGAGAAGTATCAGTGCATTGTGCTCATGATAAAATCTGACCCAACAGCCAGGCATAGTGGTGCACATCTATAATCCCAACACTTAGGAGGCTGAGGCGGGAGGATCGTCAGGAATTCAAGGCCAGCCTAGGCTACACAGTGAGTTCCAAGGCCAGCCTGAACTACATAGTGAGATCCTGTCTCAAAAAAACAAAATAACAACAGCAACAAAATTGACTCATATCAAAATAATGCTCAGATTCCATGAACTACATACTTATGTACCCACATTATTGAGAAACCTATAAATGTAAAACCCAGTGGGAGTTACTGTGTGAACATACCCAACACATCCCGAAATACTGATAAGTTACAGAGATGAGGTATCTGAATGGCACTGAAAGGACTGTCATCCCTCTAACGTCCCTCCCCTCCCCTTCCAGCCACCAGGTCGCTCCCTATTAACTACATTATTATGGTCACTCCTCTATGTTACTATGAGTACTCCAATTCCAGAAATTTCCTTTTAAGGTATGAATAGTATATGGAAGGTTTTATACATTTAACTAGTAACACAATAGCATGAATTCAGATAAGTCTGCTGATGTTTTTAAAGCTTGAGGATCTGGGCTATCAGCTGGTAATCTTTAGTGGGCAACATAAAAGATTTCTCTCATGTTAGAGAGAATTACTGAGTCTTCACTGTATATTTGAGAGTCAACTAGTGACACATAATAAACATGACCCTATTCCTTTCTCAAGAAACTCAAAATTAAGTGAAGCCCGGGGCAGATAGAGACATAGCAAGTACAATATTACAATATTCACATGAACTGAGTTTAGAGCTGATACAGCCACAGCTTGTGGGGTGAGAGAGGGTTGTGGAGTTAAACAGAAGGGATATAGCTTGGGCTGGGTCTTAAGCATGGGTAAAATCCAGCAGGGATGCCAGCTTCACACACAGTGACATGCTAAGGGGAACTGTGGAATGGGATTGATGTGGCTTCCCATGGCCCAGAAGAGGGTAGGTCCTGGGCAGAGCACATGGGATTGTCACTGAGCTGGATCAAAAAGGCCCTTAACACATACCAAGGAATTGGGATTTTTAAAAAAACTACATTTGGCTCCTTGAAGTTTTGCTAACTCTAATGTACTGCCTGCTGGCCAGGATAAAATACATAGAACCAACAGGAACCATTCAGAAGGTTGGTTCTGAATTCACATGAGGAAGAAACCAGAGGCTTACCCAAAGGAAAACCAATTAGGTCCTGCAGCCTTTCCAAGTCTTGGGTCCTAAGGTCCAAAGTCACAAGTACTCTCTTATGGATTTTTCCTTTCTTTTTTCTTGTTTTGATTGTGGCATTATGACTAGTATGTACGACTTCTTTGTAACACATCCTTACAATACCTGTAGTTCTATTTCCAAAACAGACTGACATTTAGGGAGATTGGGGGTTAATACTTAAGAGTTTCTCTGCATTTAGGCTCAGTTAATCAACTCACTTATCATGCTAAGAGCCACATATGGAGGATGCTACCTAGGAAAATCTTATGTTACAGTAAAAAGCTGCCCACTTTTGCTCATAATCAAAAGACCTTTAGGGCCAGAGATCATTCAAAATTCTCTTAGACATTTTGGAGAAGTTGGGGAAAAAAAGGTTGGTTGGTTGGTTGGTTGGTTGGTTTGAGCAAAGGGAACCCTGAACAAAGCTAACAACCTACTGGAAAAAGATATTTCAAGGTTAAAAAAGACAAAGGATTATAATCTTTCATTCATGTTATAAATATAAATTCCTGACAACCTGCATGATTGGGGTCCTTCAGCAGAGGGTCCGGGAGTGCTCAGCCAGTATGAGGACATCCTGTGCTTTGACTCAGCCACGCAGCCTCCAAGACACAAGGCACACAATATGCGCCAGTAATTCTTAGAAATTCTCTCTTAGATTTCCAAAAGGATTCTACACGTATGAATGTGTTC